TAATAACAAGCGAAGATGACGAGAAAAATGAAAGATGCAGGTAGACCATGGATTTATAAGGATTTTACTACACATGAGATTTTACTACACATTACAAACAAATGAAATTCTGCCCAGTTGTTTTTAATGTTACAATAATATAAAATTATCGATTATATACTTTTCGTGAGTTCGTTGGCCATGTTTTCTTATTATCCATTGCTATTAAAATAGATGTGGGTCAAGAAAGGAGGTTCACATACATCTCAAACTTTGCAGGCTCTTACATCTTGATCAGCTATTTTAAAATTATATTTACAATTTTGTATGAAGATTGTGCAAATAATGAGTTAACTGCAGTTATTTTTTTTTTTTTAGATTTGTTTAGCATTTTGTTTTTTAATTTTGTATGAAGATTGTGCAAATAATGAGTTAACTGCAGTTATTTATTTTTTTTTAGATTTTTTTAGCAGTGACGAACTGAATAACTTGATTGTAAATTGATTGTATTTTATTGAACATAAAATGTAGAATTTCAATCTCGACAATATAAAACAACTGCATTATTCTTAAGAAAACACTACATATAAACATAGTTCCAAAATATTCTTGGTACAAGTTCAATTTTTTTTACTTAATCATTTTGAATCGAGGGTAAAACATAATATTTTTTAATAGTCAGTATATTATTTGTATTATAGTATTATTTAATATATTATTATATACTTAATATAAACTATATATTATATACTTAATATAAACTATATATTATTTATTTAATATAAACTATATATCGTATAATTAATAATATATTAAGTATTAAATATTACTTAATTATAATTAATTATAAATAAAAATGACTTAGAAAAATATATTTATTGTAAAGCAGTATTTGTGTGGGTACTTATAAATACTGTGAAACTCAGATAAATATGCTAAATGCGATATAATATTTTTAACGAAAATAGCTAGGAGATAGGTAATTATTACTATTACTCAATTATTTTCGAATTAGCAATACTTACAAATCTTATACAAAACTTTGATAATTAAAAAGTCAAAAACTCTAAAATATTTATTTAGTTGATTGAATCTTATTTAATTTATATGGTTGATTTTTTTCATTTAAAGTATATAAAGATTCATTTCGAGTATATAAATTTTGAATAAAATTAAGTACCAAAATTTAATAAGTCAATCAATAAGTAAAAAGCACTACTTTTTAATTTGTATATTACTTTAAATATAACAAAACAATAGATTAAAAGTTTTTTATCATTTCAATGTTTATATACTTTTAAACATTTATTTTTGCTAAAATATAAATTAATAATAAATTTAATAATAAAGAAAACCATATTGGAAATATATATTACTGTAGATTTAATGATTAATAACTTTATCTAATCTTAAATGATTTTGACTAACACACATAGAAAACTTTTTCATATAACATAATTGTTTTTTATTTGATTATACCTGTAGATTCCAAATTAAATATATTCAGTATAGAAATAAAGATTTGATTTTTAATTTTATGTGTGTTTTTATACAATGTTTTCTAATAATTCTGAAAAATATTCCAAATAAGTTAACTTAATTATATTTCATATTTATTGTAATTTAGGAATCATGAGGCCAAGCCAAAAGGTATTGTATGAATTGTATGGCAACCAAGTAAAATTGATTGTATGAATAGATATTCAAAAGGTGAAAAGTTTATTTTTGCTTAATTTTAATTTTCAAAAAATCAGTTAAACTGATATTTTATGTATTACCCAATAAGATTGAAAAAGGATGTTTATGTATTTACATTGAATATTAACGACGAATATTCTAATCTGAATGTACGTTAAAATCCAACTTCAATTTCGTAAAACTTACAGTTCATTTTCATATGATGAATGTTTTATGTATCTTAAATTCATAATTTTTATGATTATAGAATTAAAATAAATTTAATTCAATATTACATATGTTATTGTCTTATAAACAATAATAGACATTAATGCATCAGTGTAAATTGCACGTAATCTGTCGTTTACTCAGTTTTCAATCTAATTTTAAGAAATTGTTTGCAGTATAAACGGTACAGTATATACGGAAAATAAATTTTTCTTAATAGTTTAATAATAATTTTGTTTAATTTCATAGAAAAATTTTTTTAAATATTTGCAATCTAAATTGTGTAGAGTAAATCAAACCATTGTGAAGTCATGTTGTGATATGAACTTTTATTGTAGCTATGATGAATTCGAAAGTTCTGAGATTTTAATTTTTGCTAGTATTTTTTTAACTTAAAAGGATGTCTTATAAAGATATTCATTTTCCATATAATATGAATACATATTTTGAATCTGAAATTGGAAGAAAATTAAAGCTGTAAATCAATATCAAACTTAATGTGCATAGTATAAATACCTAAGTGCAGAATAATATAATTGAAGTTAGATATTCAATAATCAATTCATAATTATTGATCTCTTATGTCTATAAATACTTTCTATTTTATGATTAAATTCTAAAAAAGATTCTCTTCTTAAAGATTCTCTTTCACTAATTTCACAAAGAAATTATTAATCTATGGATATTAAATAAAAAACTATTAATCTATAAAAATGCATTTATTATTTTTTCAAAATCAAGAAACTTTTTATTTCTAAAATTTTTTAAAAATATTGCTTTTTGATTTTTGCTAAACATTTAATAACTATACTTAAAGCTCAATATCCTCATTATGCTTTAATCACTATGCACTCTAATTAGACGTATCTTTTTTGTAAATTAATATTTCTTAAATATCACATATTTATATAATATATATTCCTAGATCACATAAAAAATTCATGTTTATGTTCAGAACGTTTATATCAAGAATCAAACTAGTACCAAAATAATAATTTATAAAATCTCATATTGTATGTTTATTTTAATATACTTAATATATTAAATGTTAAATCAATATTTACTCGAAATTCAAACAATATAAAAAATAAGTTTTTATGTTTTACTAATCAATTATCTATTGAGTATTACAATATTCTGCAATAGATTCTACTACTGGTAATCAAAAGTACGCACATTCACAGTAATTACAAGATGAAGAATTTGATATTAGTTATCTAGCATTACTTGCTAGTTGATCTTAAAAAAAAAAAGTAGTTGAACTTCTATCGGATATCTGTTTATCATTTTTGCTACAGGTGCACTCTTCGTAGAGTTTCTAATGCATTTTAAAGAAATTTGAAAAACTACATTGTTTCTACAACATTATATTTGGAATCATTCCTTTATGACTTATTATTGATATGTTTACATCTGTACATATAAATATGTGAATAAAATCTAAGATTAATGTAAGCTGAAACGATATTTATAAAATATAGTTAAGTTTGTCGTATAATACTATAATATATTGGTTTTTAAATTTAATATAACGAGCGTGATATTTATAGAAAAATTACCCTTCTAACTTATGTATACGAGTATGTATTATTTTTTGATTTTCATAAAATTTTAATTGAGAACACATTACAAATTCAGAATATTCTTTAGGTAAATACTGCCATTTCACACCATATACAAAATATGACGAATAAAAATGTATAAAATAAAATTGACTTATATTATTGTACTCATAAACAACTATTTTTCAATATTGAAAAATTAGATTTCTTTTTCCAGCAAGATTTGTGTTATGTTATAATTCTTTTTAAAATATGTTGCAGATATATAAAATGTAAACTATTAATGCGTTAAAAATGTGTCAGAAATCGATAATTAATGCTTTATCGATAGTGTATTAATGCTAACGATATTAACTATAAGAACTGAAATAAATTGAACAAAATTTAAAACTAACTCAATGAATAAAATAAATAATTTCATACATTAATAATCAGTATGTCGTTTATCATAATTATATCTTCGAAAAAATTAAAATCATTACTAAATAACTACGTTTAATAAAATTGATGTACGTAATGAAATAAGTATGAAAAAATAAAACCATTACAATTTTTATTCTATTAATTTAATTTATTAAAGTATAATTTAAATAATTATATTTTAATAGAGTTGTTGTTGAAAGTAGATTTAAAAAAACAAAACTATTAAAAAAAATTAATTTTATTTGAAACGTTATATTTTTAAATATTTACATTAAATATGAATTTTAATTTAATATTTTATTTATACAAAGTATTGAATTTATATACATGTTCTAATACCTGTTTGTGCATGCGCATGTGAAATTAGTGTATATAAAAGCTATTTTTAGTTTGGACGTTTATTATCAAATATTCCTAATGCAAATATACGAATTTTAACTAAAAGTAGTGTAACATTTATTTTTATAGAATATGAAGGTTCTACTACTTATTTCATATTTCCTTTACTTTTTATTATTTGCTGAAGGCACGTAACTATTAAAATTATGTTTATAAATATATTGTTTTATACTTATTTATCTTTATTGTACAGATGTTAAATCTGTTTTTACAAAAGATGACTGCATTGCATGTTGTGAGGGTAAGATGTAAGCCACTTATATAAACAGTATCTATAAACAGTAAAATATCTTTTTACAATATGACATTTATTATGACGTTTTTAATATTCTTTTCAATTAGTATTAATATTTTTTTATATTAGTTCAAAATAATTTAACATATATAGTAAATAGATCAAAAATATTTTATGAATTATTAAACAAAAATTAAAATTTTAGAAACAATTTTTAAAATTCGAAAAACTTTGGTTTCATGAATTATATTTGGTAATTGAATACTTTATTAAATAATTTTTTTAAAATAGTTTAACAAAAATTCAATCATTGCATTTCCAAAAAAGTATAAATTATTTTTATTTACTAATGAAAAATAAAAAAAAATTGTAATTTGAAATTAAAAAAGTACAATTTAAGCCATGATAAATATTAATTGAATATTATATAATGTCGAATATTTTTATAGGAAAACTTTTTTAAATCTATTGTTTAAATATTTAATGCACATTTATATTTAGGTCTTGCTAACGATGATATAGATGTTTGTAAGCACTCATGTATAAAAAAATTTTCTTGTAAGTACTTATTAATTATATACATTAATTATATATTAATTATATAACAGTATTTTCATTATACATTATACAATAAAATTAATTAATAAGCTTATTTATATATTAAGTGATGCAAAGTAGATAAACAAGAATATTTACTGTCTATTTTATTTGTAAATATACGATTAGTATAAATATATCTTACTTGTCTTTTTTCTTGTATTCTATTTTAACTTCTGATACAACTGTACTTTGGGATTAGTGATTAAAAATGGACGAAAAGGCTAAGTTGAAAAATATTAATAAAAATATCAATAACGAAAGAATTAATTAGGTAAGGCTAATAATTATTATCCCGTGTAGGTATTCGATAATTTATAAAGTAATTTAATACAATTTTCGTTTATATTATGTAGATATTTTTAGACTTTGTTTTCAATTTTTTATTCTAAACTTGTAATTTGCTAAGATTGATCTTATGCGATAATTAGTATTTTTTATTTGTGTTTAGTTTATATTTGCACATCTCATGTAAAATATGATATATTAAATAAGCAAATAATCGCCTGCTACTTTTATGACTTTAAGTTTATTTTATCTGTTTTACATGCAATAAAAAATCGCGTTTGGATAAAACTTAGATTGTATTGACTAATTATTGTGTATCGCTTGGCTTTCATTTTCATTTCTTTAAGTATGAATGTTATATTATTACATTTATCAGATCTTTATTCTTTTATTTCTTAATTATTTGTTTATTATTGTTATTTTATCCACATTCAAATAATGTTTATTTGCTTATATATAATATATTTGAAATATACTATAAATAACTAGAAATAATATTTTAATTATTATTATGTACCTAATAACAACTGTCAATTGTCGTAAATTGTACTTTCAGTTTAGATTTATATAACTATAAAGTATAGTCCAGAACTTAAATTCTAAATTAAGTAAAATCAATACATGTAATTGACAATATTCATTTTATTTAATATTCTTCAATAAAGTAAGGACTTTGTGAAAATGACTTTTTCAATTATAACAATCGTTTTGTCAAATGTCAATAACGACCAATTAGTTGATCTTATCAATCTCGATATGAACATGATATGTGTTTACGTACACCTTACTTCTTCTTTATTTGATGAGCGTTAAGTCTTTTCAAGTATCTCTGGATTACAGGCGTGTAATCGTTGATTTTGAAATTCTCAGTTTATTTTGTGTGAAGGAGATATAGATGAGTGGTACTACAGTAGTTTCAGAAAAGTTAATATTTGCTTAATAATCTTTTATACTCTGTCTATCTACAGATTCTGTTTCATATTTTTCTCCTCTTAACAACCTTTATATTCTATTTCCTTCATTACATTTATTAAATTTTTAAATATAATAATTAATTAAATATAATGATTTCTTTTAAATATACTATAATTGATATTATTAGCCAGCCAAAACTTTAAAGGACGACCTAGTTGTATTTCAGGATGTAGAAGTAAGTTCTATATATATGCATTAATGTTTATATATTAATTTATTACATTTTTTTTATATTACACATATTATTGGATTAATTCCGAAATTCATAGCATTTGTTATTTAAAATATATGTTAATTGTACTCCATTCATAATTTAATTAAAATATTATAACACAAATGTAACATTAATAAAGGTTCATAAAAAAATTAATTATTTGTGTATTTTTTTAATTGAGTAAAATTAAATTTTTCATTTATATTAAATTAAAATATTTTTTTTAATTTATAATATTTTTGAATTAAGGAATTTTAGATGTTTGCAGAAAAGGATGTATCGATGATTGTATAAAAAGATATCCATATAAACTTAGTAAGTAATATATATTATTTATAATTTATCTTATATTATTAAAAATATGAAATACATCATTTATATTATCTTTTATAGCCAAGAAAGAAAGAGAAGCAACTAGATCAGATGTTCCAGAATATGTACAATAATTATAAATGTTATATTAATTATTTTAAATGTAATATTAATTCAAATTTCTATCATAATACAATTTAAGTTTTTGAAAAATCAACTAAATATCATTATACTAAATTATACATTCACTTAAAATTTAGAACGATAATACTTTTGAAAGTAAAAGGCCTGTAATTTGATAATTTTTAAGTTTTTTAACATTATTAAATAATTCGAACATTCTTTTGAAAATTTTGAAAATTCATAATAATCTAAAAAACCAATTTATATTAATATAACATATAAAATTATTTCTTATTTTATATTTCATATACTGCGTGATATAATATAAGTAATATTTTTATATAACAAAAATATGATAATATATATATTTATTTAGTAAAATTTTAATAAGGAAATAAATAGTTTTTTAGAAAGAGTTTATATTTCATCAGTACTTCACTCTCAGTTATATAATAATTCATTTGAATTACTATATGGTTTCGCAGTATTCATCTTCTATCAATGTGTTTTTTCATACTATCATTGCCATTTAATGAGATATAGCGCGAAAGATTGTACCTGCATGTAAGTAAAATTAGTTTATTATACTATAAAATATACTTCAACAGTTAATCTGTTCTGTACCAGAAAAATTGTGGTATATTACATATATACACATTTATATATACTTTATATATTTTTTTTAATTCATCAATATATTATGTGTAAAACGTAAGATGTAACCAGTGATATGAAACTAAAAGTTGTATAAAAGTTGCATATATTTGAAAATTTTCCTCATATTAAATGGTTATTTCATTTTTTGACAATAATTCAAATTAAATGTAATTGAACATTACTCGTTTCTTTCTTTGCAATCCAGTTTTTCAGTCTTTTCCTTTATTTTATTTCATAACTAAATTTATACTTTTTATTTACAAAATAATAATACAAGCAGAGAAATAACAGTAGTTAGTTACCTTGACTTTGAAGGATTCAACCAAAGTTGTGAATCATGAGTTTTTCTTTGTGTGGTGGTATAATGTTATAAACTTATTGCTGGAGAGTCTATTTTGTTACTGTTTCTTGCACAAAGTGTCATAAGAGCAGTTATAGCCTAAGCATTTGCTATTTTATTTAATAAAAATTACCGGTTTTAGATTTACATAGCAAGCAAATCGTACTTCAATTGTTCCAATAACATAATATTTGCTTATTCAGGGAAAACTAATGAATTATTACTCTTATGCTACCGAAAAACGAAGAACTTTCATTCTGCTTTAGCTCTTTATTTTGAAATATAAATGTGCTGCAATTTGATTTTTAAGTATTTCTTAATTAACTTAATTAATTGCCTTGAATACTTCAAAAAGTAATGTTTGCTTAATCTAAGCTTAGATTAATAAATGAAGTTAATGAAGTTTGATAATAATAGATCATACAATTAGTATATTTTATTAAAATTATATATAAAAAATTAGAAAAAATATTTGAAATATTGAAATTTCAATTTAATATATATTTATAATTCATTTAATTAAAAAGTAAGTAATATCAATAGTTATATATTTAATAAACATTATACACAATATAATAAAAATATTAATTAATGAAAATAATTTCTTACTATTTTAAGTAAGGTAAGCAATTATCAAGTATTCTGTAGTAATAAAATTATCGAAATTATTTAATATTAATCGAATCAGTTATAAGATTATAATACACAGATATACAATAAATACTTTACTTGATTAAAAACGGTTTTTATTATGTATTATAAGAAGTTAAAAATAGATAAAATTTATTTATTTCTACAATGTGTTAATACATTTTAAGTTCTAATCTTTGAAACTATCCTATATTATCATAAATTTTCATGGCTTCTGATATAGATTTTTATAGTATTGACAGTTTTTTATAAATGTAGTTTTAATATTATAAAGTCATTTTGATATAGAATTAATAAAATAAGAAATTTTATATTGTTAAAAATATTTGTTAATCGAAGGTTCTTGAAACAGTATTTAGAACATGCTATGAACGTTGTATTTATAATCCCGGGAAGAATCAAGCTTTTGCGATTGCCTTTATACTACTAGCCTTTGGTGGTTTTTAAATATCTTCGTAAATGTTCGTAAGATGCGCCATCTGTGATGATAAAATGAATAAGTGTACCTCCAATGCTGGCACTTCTGGTTCTAGTTTGGTTCAGTGAGCATCCAGAGCCCACATTCACATTACAACTATGGTAAGCACAGTGTAAATCCGACTTATCGTTTTTAATGATAATAGACTTTTATATAAACAATGGATAGTTATCTGAAAACTTAAAAAATAGATATATTGAAAGGAATTTTCGTTTTTTCTGTTGCTTAGGCTGACCTCTCATCCAAGGATGTTGAAAGTGAGTATGAATAAAAAAATGTAATTCATTGCATCTTTTTATGAAATTTTTCTATTGCATCTCTTATAACTTTAAAAACTGTTTTTTTGGCTGTGATATTATTAATATTAAAAATTCTATACGTTTATTAAACAGAGGAAACTGCATTTTAGTGAAAAATTATTCATTAATGAATAAAATTAACACAGGAAGAAGTGCTTTGATGTTAAATGTAATGTCAATTTGCTAGATTAAATTATTCTATTAAAAATTTTGATCGAATGAAATATAAATTCTTCATTTATACTCACACAATTATATTTAAATTTGTTGAAAATTTTTTTCAAAAATTGTATTAATCTTTACTTGGGTAAAATTGGATGCATAAGATGAAATGTCAAAAATTACTTAAGATATTATATTTTTATTGTATTTTAGTTTTTCTAAATAATATTTTACATAATGAGAACTTATATGAATATTATATTATGCAATAGATCACATAATGTTGTATTTTGAACATAAATTTCAATATCTTTTGCAATCTGCATTGGAAATTGATATTGAATTTTAATTCATTATTAATAATGGATGTCTGGTTTAATCTTAATTTGATTTATTTAAAAATACAAAAATATTTATTAAAAAATTTTATAGCATATTAAATTTAATATGCTACCTTAAATACAATTTATTATTTATTTATCAATTATAAATTGAAAATTATGTGATTCAGTTAGATTAAGTACCTTTTTATGACCAGCATCTGTTTGTATTTAACAATCTAAATCTCGATTGCACAACTCTTATGTGCGAAGTTTCGAAGTTAGAATTTCATTTGTGGAATAGCACTTTGTGCTGTTAAAAATATCTGAGAAGCAGTTCATATATGGTTCGGCAGAAGTAATCTGACACAGTATACTTGTGCTGTTGGATTTAGTGGCAGTAGGGACGGGTAAGGGAAAGCCGCTAAAAATAATTCGGACAGTTGAAAATTTTCGTAATTTTTGTGCGCATTTTATTATTTTTAAAATAATTCATTTGAAATCAAAGTATTGGAAATGGACCTACATTTTTACTTTTACTTTAATGTACAAAACTTATAATAACTAAATGTAGCTTATAATAACAAAATTATTTAATAATATATTAAAATAGATTAAAATATTTGTAATTCTCTATAATATGAACAATACTATTCATATTATTATATTATATACTATACAATTATGTAATTGTAAGTTTATATTATTATAAAATAGTGTCATATAAATATTACATTACTAAATTTACAATTCTATGTAATTTAAAGGTATCAGAAATTTAGATTTTTAAATTATTTCTTCATTTTTAATCCTATAAAAGATGATGAATTAAAAAAATAATATGCTTAGTAATTTCGTTGAACTTTTTTTATTTATTAATTCTTCTAAGTACTTTGAGTGATATAATGATGGTTTTTCATTAGATATATGATCGTATATTGTAAACGATAATCAATTTTTTTTTTTAATTTTGATTGAATTATTTGATTTCAAATATTTTTGAATATTAAATTTACTTATTTGAATTATTTAATACTTATTGAAATTTTGTTATAATAAAAAATTCTAACAAATTTCGCAATTATTAGTAATTGTTAGTAATTAGTAATAGTAGTAATTTGACATTATAATATATTTTTTTTAATACTGTAATTGCAAAACTAATGCTGTTATAGTATACATTTTAAGTGAAGTAATATGATTACAAATCATACAATTGTATATATAATATATTTTATCGTAAATTTAAATACATATTTTTTTTATAATAATTGATAAATATAGTACAAAAATTTTAAACGAACTTTTTGCTACAATATAAATATAACGATTGTTATAAATAACTTCAATTAAAATAATTTTTATATTTAAAAAATTTAAATAAATTAAAATTTGAATAAAAATAGGTTCTTTAATTTTAATTAATGCTATATATTAGTGATATATTTATATGTATTATGTATGTTATGTATGCATGATAAGATTTGAATTATTCCATATAATATCTGCAGTTTTTATCGTGAAAAGCATTAGAATATAAAGAAACTCAAATATCGTATGATTTATAGGTATATCAATTATGGTAAATTAATTTTAATATTGATAATTCAATTTGCTTTATTTAAAAATATTTTAAATTACCTTCTTATATGGATTTATAAATAAAAATTATATTGTTTAAGAACTTTCATTATAAATACCGTCGTTCAATATTTTCTCATGAGTTTCAACATGGATTTTTCAAATTTATAATTTATTTGATTACACATAATAAAGAGTTATAATACAGTCATTTTCAAATAATTTGGTATACATAATTCGATATAATGTATATAAATTTTCGATGACATTAGCTGAATATTATTATATGTAACACATAGAAGATTGAAATATAGAATTTTAAAAATGTAATAAATTGCTTTCATTTATTTTCTCTTTTTACAGTGAGTTTATTTCTTTTAATATTTATATTATGGGAACAATTAAACAATCTCACATTTCATATTCAAAAAGGATTTTTGATAAATAATTTTTTTAAATAATTTAATTATGAATAATTTATAAAAAACGTAAAATATCTCATTCACGATTATTTTCATTTTTTTAAATAATAAAGAATTGTTAATTTGAAGTAAAATAATGATTTATTTTATTTATTAATATAAATAAATAATGATTTATTTATTTTAATAATCTTTTATTAATTATTAATAAAAGATTTATTAAAATTTACTTTACTATATCAAATTAATAATTAGTAGTATACATATAAAGTTGGAGAGCTACTTTTGAATTATAAAAAATCTGTAAAAATAAGAAACAAATTCTTGATTACATATATTTAAAAACATTATGACAGGATATAAAAGAATTTTAAATTCTTGATCATATCTAAGAAATCATATATTAACATCGACATATATTTGTGTACAAAATAGTGATTTTTTTAATTTGTGGGCTTTAATAAACTTTCGAATTATGTATAATATTTTTATTAATGAAATAAAATAAAAATGTTCCAGCTTAAGAAACAGTTGATTATTGAAATATAACTAATTAAAAAATTTTAAATTATCTACCTTTTACAATTTGTTAAATGAATTCAATAATAGGAAAACTAAATATATAAAAACATAAAAATTTTTTTTTATTAATAGAGGCGGAATTTGCTTTTTCAATCTACGATGCCGACGGTACTAATGTTATCGATGCTGTCGATCTCGGTAATGTACTTCGTGCCTTGAACACAAATCCAACTAATGCTACAATCGAAAAGCTTGGCGGTACAAAAAAAAGGGGAGAAAAAACAATGGCCCTAGAAGAATTTCTTCCTATTTTCAGTCAAGTGAAGAAGGACAAAGAACAGGGTTGCTACGAAGATTTTGTAGAGTGTTTGAAATTATACGATAAAGCAGAAAATGGAACAATGCTTGCAGTTGAATTGTCACACACCCTCCTGACCCTCGGTAATTGTTTATGGTATTTTATATGTACACTGTACTTATATTTTTGGTAATATTGTAATTAAACAGTTCTATTGAAAAATGAATTGAAATTTTTAATTGATAAAATATTATTTTTTTATCATAATATTTGTAAAATTTATTATTTTTGAAAAAAATATAATTTAAAAAGTGATTTATATTTAGGCGAACGTCTTACTGATCAAGAATGTGAGATCGTTCTAAAAGATTGTCTGGATCCTGAAGATGAAGATGGATTCATTCCATACACTCGTAAGTATTGGTTTATAATTAGGATTGTTTTTATTAATTAATATTTATTCAAATATCCATTTATTCGTGTAAGTTATGTTTTATTGCTTAAAAATAATTATATTTAAATGTTCTAAATACAAATTAATAGTAGTAAGAGATTCTTAATATTTAATTATTTTACTATATAAAATTGATCATTTTTAATAATAAATATATATTAAAAATTTTTTATTTACATTTTTTAAATAAAATTAATATTTATTTTTCATATTAAATAATTATAAGATACATTATTTAAAAATTTACAAAATATAGTATATAGTTATATCAATAGTTCGATAGATTGAGAACAGAGTTAAAGAAATATTTCAAGAATTATATGTAATTTAAAATAGTGTTTGTAATATGAGATTTTATTTTTAATATATTATTTTATTGTATTTTTTATATATGTTTAAATTCTTACATATATATTAGAGTTGATTAATATGAAAAAATATTTAATTACTGAAGAAATAAAACGTTTTTATTATATATTTAATTATAGTAATTTTATAATTTTGTTCATAACTTTTTATCATTATTTTTTTAATTATAGAAATGACTATGTTCTCACTCTGTCAAACACCAAAAATATAAAAATATACCATATTTGATGTAGATCTATAAAAAGAATCGGTTAAGAATTCTACTTTATTTTTTAATGTTGTTATATTATTTAAATAACATTATTGAAAATTAAATAATATTATTCAGTACCATAATTTTTAATTATTATTAGTTTATTTGAAGCAATTATTTTGATATTTAATAATAATTATGTAATAAAATAATATTGGCACTATATTTGCATATTTTTATTTTATTTAATTTATGAATAAAGATTAATATTCTTATAAATAATACTTAGAATATTTAATTAACAATATTGTAATAAACTATAAAAAAATTTATTAATTTTTGTGTTTATTTTTATGGATAATAGTAGTTTGGCATCCTATGTTGTTTAGTTAGTGTTTTTAAATTAAAGAACTATATTTGTTTTACTGACACCTATTTAGAGATATCAGTTTGATTCTCTTGAATGAAATGATAGCACGAATTCTCCCATCCCTCCTATATTGTATTTTCAAATCAATCAGCGCTTCAGGTTGGACCCTGCAATGAAGAAGAACAAGTCCATACCATCTATTGAGTGATAACCTCCTATGTTTGATCTCCCTATTTGTACTTTTACAGCTTTCGTCAAGAAGTTGATGTCGTAATTATAATCAATGGAAAAAATTAACAACCGTAAGTATACCCTGTAGATTATCCTAATTGCTTTAATTTCTTGCTGTTATGTAACGAAATTGGGAATTGTCAAAATGCATGCGAATATATTCTGAAATAGGAAAAATAAAATTGATTTGTAATGTTGACGGCAGTATATAGAATGAATGTGTTAATATTTTTATTTTTTGCCCTGATGTATAATATTTAAAATGCTAATTTGATATTAATATGCACTTATATATATATATATATATATATTAATATAAATAAAAAAGGTGGATGTTTAGATGAATGGTGCTTAATAATACATTTTTCTATATTATAAACAAAATGATTATTCATATTATCTATTAATTTAATAATAAAATTAACGATAAAGTACAAATTAAATACTGTTTTTTCTTTTAAATATTATCACTAGTAAATATATTTTATTATTTTAATAGTTTGAAATTCAGTCTTAATAACAACATATATAATAGTATCATTACTTATTTAAATATATTAGAATATTATCGGTCAGATACTATGATTGTACCGGTCGCGTATTTAGATTCTTTACTAATTTAAAGAAAAAGGACAGCGTTGTAGTACAGTAAAGATGTAATTATATGAATAACTACTTCATTTTATTACTTATTTGATTTTCATCTTATGTTGTCAATTATTTATTTGTAAGTCTGTGTATTTTATATATATCTAATTTATCATTAAACGCAAGTGTTTAGAATGTTTACGCAATTTAATCTAAAATGATGTTTTTTATAGCGTTCCTTAAACGTTTATGTGAGAGAGCTAGTGGAGAAGAGTAAATAGAACAACTATGAAAAATATACTGAGATCAATTGCAACGTACATCTTTAAGATAACCATTCTTCATATTCACGCATACAGAATATATATACATAATACAGCATTTCCTTGAGTAAACTACGAAACTGATAAATTGAAGTATTGGAGGAACTATCAACGTATTATTTATTTAAATTTATCTATTTGTTGTATTAATAATTTACTGATATTTATAAGTTTGCACATTAATATTTATCAATATAAATATTTTGAATAAACTAGTTTAATGTGCATGTTTTAAGATTATTATTATTCAAAAGCAGAAAAATTTTAATAGCGTATTAAAATGAATCAAACAATCATGTAATTTGTGTATTATTTTAATAAATTGTACAATTTAAACCAAAAGTTGTGCAAAATCTTCTGTAAATATATTTTTTTCAATTTTTTTCCCTTATTAATTCCTATCATGATTTTTGAAAAATTATTCATTTATATATTGCGATCATGAAATACCATTTACTTCATTTCATATATATACTTATATTTTTATTTACAATTTATAATAGAATTTGAAAGATTAATATATAGAAATATGTATATTCACCAAATAAATTTTTGTCATTTAAAGTAATTATTTGTAAGATATAAAATAAATTTATAGAAATTAGAAATTTTTGTCTAATTTGCTGATGGAGGAACTAGGATTTAGATTTCTCGGTATAATATTATATCTCTATTCAGGATAAAATAATAGAAAAGGCTGAACTAATAAGGTCAAGCGGTAAATCAAAAGTTCCTGTAAATCTCTAAATGTTAGGACAAAATGGAGATAGAAGTAGGTTAAATAAAGATAAATGAATAAAAATAAATAATATAAGGTATACTACAAGAAGTACGAATGATACTAATATTATTTTACGCAATTCATTAATTTTTGCAAAGCTAAATTTCTAACTGGTCTTCTTTATTATAACTTTTAATTTAAAAGAACATATGAATATAAAATAGTAATCTACGAATGATGCACCAATTATTATATCTCATTATAATGTTCCAATAGGGTTGAGTTATTTAAATGTAATTATGAATGAATATTGTGCGAAGGTCAAAAAATAATAATTATTGAAATAATAGAAAATATAAGTACATTATAAATTGAATAAAAGATATCATTAACGTAACAGTAACAATAATGACAATATTAATAATAACAATAATAACAAAAAAAATAAATATATTAATTTGTACCATTTTATTTTTAAAACGTATTGATTTTTTATTTTCTATTTTTTCTATTAAAATACATTATAGGTTAATAATGAAATATATTTTCTTTTGCGCTTCTATTGAGTTCATCCTATTAGCAAAGTAAGAAAAATTTACAAATTGTTAAATTTTATACTGATAAGTATTTTACAAATGTATTATTTTATAAAACACAAATAAAATTTTCTATATAATTTTTAAGTGCATTGAAATTGTAAGAATTATCTAAAAAAATTTTGATAATTATGTTAAAATGTAATTAATAAAAAAAAAATACAAATAAGTCTTAAATTTTATTGGTTAAAATTTTAATTTATTATCTTAGATTACCAAATTAATCATTATATTTATATAAAGTGAAAGAAGAATATTATAACAATAATAATTATAAATAAGTCAATGTTTGTATACTTATATTATTATTATTAGTTGTTTAATAGTAATAGTAAGTGTCAATTTAATGAGTTAAAATTTGATACATTTTATAAAATCTGATAATTTCAATGAATGAATTTATGCTTAATTAAAATAATTTACATATTTTATTAAAATTAAGTATTTGTGAACATAATTAATTATATAGAAAATGTCTTTCATATACAATCGAATAATGAATAAAAGTATTTTTATATTTTCGATCTGTAATGTAGGTAATTAATAAATTTAAATGTAACGATTCATTTGTAATTTTGTAGTTCGTTATGCAGCTTCAATCTGTTTTAGCAAATATTCATCTGAAATGTAATGTGTATTTTATGATTTTATAAAATTATATAAAATTTGAAAAATTCGCATCATTTTACAACGTGTAAAATACATGAATGGTACAGGAAAATGAAAGAGGTATACAATGGGTTTTGAGAAGAAGCGCGCGCGCGAAAGAGAGAGAGAGAGAGAGAGGAAACTTGTTTTAGCTAGCTAAACGTAGCAACACCAAGTATTCTTCGTCAGTCGGCGTCGGATGTATCGTAGTGCATAAGCCAGTGACTCCGTCATCGTGTCAGCGATACTTACCCTTGTCCTGTTTGTGTTGTAGTGTGCTTGTTGCTGTGTTGCAGCCTTTATCCGTTCATTTTTTGAGTGTCTTATCATTTCGATATCTTATACAAAACAACTAACCTCCTATAAAAAAAGTAGGAGAAATAGTGAGAAAGAGAGAGAGAGAGAGAGAAGAGAAGAGAAGAGATATCAGAGCAAAAAACAATTTCCAGGATGCCAGACGAGGACATGCAGAAAAATCCAGGTGATCCTGACAGGACATTGGCTAATTTACATTCACCGCAAACAGGTGAGTTTTCATTGGGATGCAACTTTCGCCCATTATTTCATCTAATTTCGTATTATAGTAGATGATGTTCTATGTGACACGAACGCGGAGAAAAAGAGTTCATAAAAATAAGAGTGCTTAAAGCCTATCTTTATTTTTCAAAAAAATATCAACACAAGATTGAAAATAACAGTTGATAGTTCTTCTAAAGTAGAATTTTTTACTAATTATTATAAATATCGTATAGTAATTGCCAACTAGAAATAGATCTTCTGTTTATTCTGACTGATGAAATTATAGCAACTGATTATTTTATCCAGATAGTCAAACGAATAGTGTGTTACAACCGAAAAGTCGAATTGTATTGAAGTAAACGACGTTAATGAATATTCAATAAATGTTAGACAAAAAGAGGTGGTTTACAGTTCATTTGCCATACCGACCTGTCTAGGATGCGCATGTACGCATACCAGCAACAGCCACTGGATCGATGGGGATTCTGGAAGTGTCGGGAAAATCTTTGGCCCTGGTAAAGCAGAGCGTGCGCACGCAAACTTGCATAATGACTCCCTTGCCTAAGTTTTTCTCGTGAAACTGAATGTAAAGATGTGGTTACTTACGTTACCAATGAGCAGATATATTGTTGGTAATTCATAATTATTAGAATAACATTATTCTATATAATACAATTAATAATATAGTGAATTAATGTACTGAAATTATTTATTTCATTTTGATTAAGAAAAATTTATTTTCTTTATAGTCATAATAATAAAAATAAGAATAATATTAAACACTTGTAGTATTTTTTAATTTTTGTTATTTACCATTTATGTTAAAAAACAATTTTTACTTTATGAACTTAATAAATATTAAAAAATTTGGTCTATAACTTGATTTCTATAAAGCATTTTTAAATATCTTTTCACCAAAACAATTGAAATTAATAAAAATAATCTACGATTAATTATCCCTTTCAAATGAACAAGTTCGAGAAATTGCATATTCCTTTATTTGAACAGATTAAATTTATTATTATATTACTACATTATATATATATACACATATATATATATATATATATATATATATATATATAATTTGTAGGTAATTTAATAAGAAAATGTTATGTGTTAATGTGATTGAAATTTGTATAGAAATCTTTTACTTTTATTTTGTATTTTTACAAGTTTTAATAGACAGAGAGATAACTCCCAATTTATTCTCTACTTCTCATTACAAATTTACTACTATTTGTAAATTTCATATAATTAATCAGGCGAAACCGAAAACAGTTTTTTAAAGCCTTTCATTCTTACGTCATAATAAATATGTATATTATTTTTACATACTTACATATTATTTCATTTTTTCGTATTAAGTGTCAAGTTTCAATTTCTTACACTTATTAAACTAATTATAAATAATCTTACTTTGTAATAATTAACAGTATGCTTATATTTAGATTTATTAGAAAATGGGAAAAAAAACTATAACATAATATAATATTAAGTTCTAATCATGAGTATGTTAATTAGAAGATGAGGCATGAATAAAGCTAATGTAAGCAATTCATGTATTTAAAACGTTTTAAGAATAAAAAATAATTAAATAAATACATAAAAAATAAAAATCATAATTTATAGTAAATAGCACCTACATTATAAATATTTGGTCCAAATTTATATGCAATAAATAAAATTCTTAAAATAAGTTAAGTTAATTAATTAATTCACAACATTGTACTCTAATAATAATAAAGTATTGAATGTTATTCGTAATAATAATGTATAAATATTTTTCAATATTCTAAAATAAACAAAATAAATAATTACAAAATGATGGAAAATTATAAAGTATACGTTTACGTTATACGACTAAATTAATATTTTATCAAATTTTAAATATATTTAATTTATTTTTAATTTATAACAATCATTTATTTATGATTTTAAAGAATTTTATATTGTAATTCTAGTAGCAAGTCAGGTCATTTTATTTTTAAAACTGCTGCGATCAATCAACCGTTGGAATTTTCAAAATACGAACTCAAAATAGTTGTAATTTTGCGATAATTTTAAACTGTTATAAAATATTGGTGGATTTTGTACATTTTAATTAGTTTATCTAGAATTTAAAAAAAGATCCAATTGACATGGATCAAATGTTGATGACAATACAAAATAATGTGAAAAAATAAAATTTTTTAGCACAATGTGACCTAATTAAAAAGTATCAGTATAAACGTGTGCTAGCCTATTCCACAGCTAATCTTTAATAGAGTATATATTATTAAAATATTTTATATTTATTTCTACTTGGATAATTCAATTAAATTTTTTTATAAATAATATATTAATAAGTCATTAAATGGTCTTAGTTAACGTATGTAGTGAGATCTAATTGTATTATATAATTATGTAATTACAAAATTGTATCTTATTCTGTTACATAATTAATTTATATTATAAATAATTTAAATATTTTAAAGTGCAATAAAGTTACAACTGACCATGCTGATACAATATATAAAATAATATCCAATCTGTTCCTAATAAATTTCTAAAAATTTTAAAATATAGTAAATTATTTGTATTCTATATAACCAACCTATTATAAATACTGAGTATTAAAGATTTTATTACATTTTTATATATTTTACGTGTTTAAAAATTTTAAATTATGTAAAATGGTGTTTTTTACTTCTATATTTTATTTATATCCAACAAGCTCTATATATTTATAGATTTAGTGCAATGCTCAATTCATATCGTCATTTATTTATTATTCGTAAAATCTATTTTAATTATTAATTTATTTAATATTATTAATTATATTATTAATTATAAATATTAAATAACTGTATTAATGATTAATTTAAAAAATTGTGTCTACAAGAAAAGTTATTGCTTTAACTTTAAATTTTATAGATTAAAATTACACAGAATAAAATAATAAAAGTATTTAAATGACTAAAAATATTATCGTTTAGAGAGAGAGAGAGAGAGAGAGAGAGAGAGAAACATAGATTTATATTTCTATTTATTTGTTATCTCACTTTTATTGAAAAACCAAAACTATTATGTACATATATATATATATATATATATATAATATAATAATTATTTTGTTAATATTCTCTAATTATTCTATTCAAACTTTTGTTCTTTCTCATTCACTGCATACTGTAAACCATTTATGAACTTTGTGTTACATTATACAAATAAATTAATATGATAAAATATAATATGCATTTATAAATAGAACTATTTTTTCTAATTTAAAGATATAATTTTTTCTCCTTTTACCATAATAATGTAATATGACTCTACTGATTCTGCAACCTACAATATTCTCTACAATATTATCTCAAATAAAAGCATTTATGTAGAAATTGTAATCATTAAAAAGAAAAAGTCAAAAAACTTGTTCTAGAATTTGTTATCATACTGGTAGAAAAGCAAGCATTCTGTGTGTTAAAAAAAGGAAAAATCAGAATTTTTGTTCTACCATCGAATCAACGATTACAATGGAATACATTCACTTTAATGATGTATATATCAAATTTGTTAACTTTATCCTTTCAAGTGCTAAAAAATATTTCAAATAGCTAGAAAAGAAAAAGCAGAGCGTATTGAGATCAATTTTCTATCATGTACTTCATATACGTAAGAGTACAACCGACACAAAAGAGAAGCTAATAGGTTAAAAGAAAAATTATTTAATGATACATATTGAATATTGTATTTAATAGAAAAAAATGAATGTTCTGAGATGAAGATATCTGTACTTGAAATTTGAAATCAAGACTTCGCCGAGCTCCTTACACACAATATTGGAGTGCTCACTAGTTTACCTATTAAGTTTTCAGATATATTTTAGAACAACTAAAAGTCTTCTCATTGTATGTATGCATGAATTAAGAATAAAGATTTTTAAACTATATCTCGTGTCAATGTATTATAATTTTACTTAATAATATTCTATAATAACATTCTGATATAAAAATTTATTCACATATTATATATTGAGAAATAAAGAAAATTTTTCTGTTATCGCCAATGATCTAGTAGTTAAATTTATTTTGTACTTCATTCTGATATATCATTTATTTATATTTAAATTGATATTTTTTAATAATTAAAATTAACATTTTTAAAAAACAATTGATGACAATATTTTAATGCTTTGCTGACAATTTTTGAGCAACATAATTTTATATTTGGATAGAATCATGATAATTATAAGCATACTTCGAAATTTATTGTATCGGATATATTATGTAAGTATAAAATTAGGTATTAAAAGTCTCAAATACTTTTAATAGATATTTATTGCAAGGTATTTATTACAAAAAGTTGTATTAGAAAAACGTAGAGGTAACGTGAGAAATTATGAGAGTCCATTACTTTTAATGCTTTGATGTATATATGCGTCGATGAAAAACTTATTCTTGTTAACACGCAACGACATGCATTAGCGCAACTCATATGACTTTCGTTATGATAAACTGTTATTATGCTTATATTCCTTCTGTTTATAATGTTATTTCGACAATTAATACTGAGAATTATGTAATTTCTATTTGATAAATTTAAAAAATATAATGGTATTATGGGAATACTTTTTAAGATAGTTTTGCATTTACATTAAAAAGATATCAACTAGATATGAAATGTCTTCGTATCTTTGCCACTGATGGAAATACATTTGATTTACTTATATATATTTTGGTATAGCTTATACGTAATATTATTGACAAAATGAGAATTAAAAATTTCAGAAATTATGAAGTGTGATCAGTTAAAGTCAGTGAATTTTCAATTTATTTTCATATTAATAGTATTACTAGGAATTTTAATTAGTAAAAAAAGGCTATTCTTAAGTACAAAAAATAAATAGGTTATGCGTATGTAATCATTTGTTAATAAAATACATATATATTTATATATATCCAATACATCATTTTTTTATAGGTAAATAATATTAGTATTATAACAATATAATTGTTATTTCACTAT